TTTGTTGAAGATTAATTGACCATATAATTGTGAGTTTATTTCTGGGCTTTCTATTCTGTTCCATTGATCTATGCATCTATTTTTCTGTGGCCTTTTTTAAAGAAAAATCTTTCTATTTCTTGGTTTTTGAGTCATTATTCAGAGTAATACTGAATACAAGAAAATTGAAGTGCAAAAACAATAAACATTTTCAGTGCACCATGAGGCAATTTAATAAGCAAATGTTACTGTGAAAGATTAGATGATGGGCTGTATAGCACAGCAAAAATAGAATGAGCAAAATGACATTTTAGGATATTATTGTGCCTCCACTGTAATGGACAATCATTTGTTAATTTGGCGGGTGCTATGTCATGATGGAAAGTAAATAAGACACATTTTAGGCAAATATTGACAAGTGTTTGCAAGGTCTTTGCTAAGGAAAAATAGTACCAATTCCCAGAATATAAAAGATGTGTGAAATTCAACATGCAAACTTAGCCTTGATTATAGAAGTGTAATGAGCTAAGTACTGAATTTGAGCAGAGCTCTCAGACTACGCTTGTGGCAAAATAACTAATCCCGGTCCCCAACAGGACTTAGAAGACCGTGCTGAGATGGAGGAAAAGATGTGAGGCACGGGAGCTGATTCTGGTCTGAGACCAGATGGGGTCTGTCTTTTGGCCATTTTTCTGAGGAAAGTGTCCCTGGCAGCAGATTCCTCTGTGGCACCAGCTATGTGACTGTAGTCATGCCGTCCAGTGTCAGTGGCTGAACTCTTTCAAGAAGCTACAGGCCACAGCTATACCCATTGCATTAGGGCCTTCACTCCTTTATTCTCTTTGAGAGGCTAAGTGCATGGGGCACTTAGGTGGCTCAGTCGGTTAAGCGTCTAACTCTTGGTTTTGGCTCAGGTCATGATCTCACGGTTCGGTTCATAGGATTGAGTCCCACATTGAGCTCTGTGCTGACAGTGTGGAGCCTGCTTGGGATTCTTTCTCTCTCCCTGTCTCTCTCTGCCCCTCTCTCACTTGCTCGTGTGTGTGTGTTTGTATGTGTACATGTATCCCACCCCCTCAAAATAAATAAATTTTATTTTTTTTTAATTTTTATTTTATTTTTTTTAAATAAATAAATTTTAAAAACTTAAAAAGTAATAATTTCAAACAGAAAGAAAGATTAAGTGTGGCTGTTGTTCTCTCTGTTCTTAAACTTTTTTAAACCCATATTTCCCCCCACCCCCAGCATTGTGGAATGGCATCACATTTCCTATTAGTACAAAAAAGAAAGAAAGAGAGAATGCATTACCTGGATACAGTCCAAGGAGATCTGAGATGGATGTAGGGACCGATGACTAGAGATGTACATATTTCTGTGGCTCTTGATTCCCTTCCAAATGCATCTTTTTAAGGGAAGAGGAATTACATTTACTTTTTACATTTAATTTTTATGTGTAGGTATTATTCAAATGGTTCAAAAGCCAGCATATATAAGTACATGGTGAAAAACCTCCCCTTTTCCCTGTCTCCTAACCACCCCACCTTCCTCTAATGGATCCCTCTTGTTCTCAGTTTCATGTGTCACCTTCCAGAATTTCTTCAGGCATACACAGACAAGTACAAATATGTGCCCTTGTTTGGGGAAAACTACAAGATTTTTAAGATCCATGCCAGGAATCTGGTAGTTATTTCTTCTCATTCCCAAAGCTCATATACAAATCCTTGTAATTCTTTATTGTAAATGCCATTTCCAAGGGCAGAGAACTCACTGGTGGGAGAGGGCTTCCTGTCACTGGCATGCTGAGTAAGGATAGGAAAGTGTCGCCAAGTCTGGACGCTCGCAGCACACAGTCTCCCCTTCCGTCACTGAAAGTAAAGGGAGAGAACTGGGAGGAACAAAAGGAAAAAGAAACCAAATCCATACCCAGAAAGAATTTACAGATGAGGTATGGCTGTCTCTTCAAATCAACTGCTTTCTCTATTATTTCCTAAAGTCATTAACTAAACCACAGCCAGTGCCAGTGCAGTTCAATGAGTTTGGAGCAGATCCCTCGGTGTTGGCAAGTCATTCCACTGGTTCTAGAAAATGAGGCTGGATTGAACCGGAGCTGAAAGAATTACAGTGTTTCCTTCCTCTGATGACTCTCTCAGGGGACATGCCTGGAATGAGTGAGCATGAGAGATGAGGTGGTGTTCACTCTGAGGCACAGCTGGATATACATGTGGAAGAGGGGGCTGTGCTCTGGTGTTATTTTTGGAGGCTGTAATTCCACTGCTAGTTTTCCTAGCTTACCCTTTCTTACATATTCCTTATCTCAACCCGTCTCTTCTCTGGAGATCTTAAAGTTACTGTTGAGGCTTGAAGCAAGATGGGTGCTACAGGGTCATGCTTGGAAATTCATTCTAGGCAAGATTTTCTCCCTCAAACCCATGTATTGAGTTAAGATTACAAGGAAACAAATACAGCTCTGATTCCCATTTACTTTAAGACTCACTCTGGCATTCTTCCTAATTGATTAGATAAAAATGTAACTCTCAACCGACTCATTCTCAGAACATCATTGCCTACACCCAACATTGACAGTTGCCATGAGAAAAAATTGTATGAGGACTTCATGGCAGATGTAATGCTTGGCATAAGTAGATGCTTGAAAAAGTTCTCATAAATGAATACTAGTCAACCCTCATTACTCAGCAACAATTGATCACCTCTCTGTGACATTTTATAAAAATTGTAGCATTTGCTTTTTCCTTTTTTAAACTCTGTAATTCTCAAAACAGCCTTTAAGTATGGACAAGGAGGAGAGTTTAGACTAAGAAGGGTACTTTCACTTTTAACCTCATTATTCTAAAAGTGGGAATGGTGAACTTGAATCAGATAGATCTCGGATAAAATTTGCCCATCCATCCATCCATCTACCCACCCATCCATCCAACAAATATGTATTAATCCTTTACATAAGGGGACTAGGCAGGGTATTCCTGTATATGTCAATGTGAACAAAATAGCTTCAATCCTTGTATTTATGGAACTTACCATCTAAGAGAAGAGAATGAACAAAATAGTCCCAGATTGTGGCAACCTTTATGAGGGAAACAAACAGGAGGCTGAGTTAGAGGATAACAGGATGAGAGTGTATAGATAGTATAGATCAAGTATGTAGGGAAGCCATCTGTGAGACAGTTATTTAGGCCAAGACTCTCAGGGTATGCAGAAGTGAGCCATGCAAGGAGTGGAGCCAGGTGCAGAGATCAGCATGTGCAGTCTTTGAAGTAGGAAAGGGCATGGTGTATGTATCTAAGGAACTGAAGATCCGTGGGACTTTGAATTGTAGCTAGCACTTCAGTAGCTGTGGGAGATAGAATTGCTACTCAATCAGTTGAGCCTTCATTTCTTCATACTGAAATATAAGATAATGGTGCACACCTCGCAGGGCTGTTCGGAGAATTTAATGGGTATTAAAGGAAATAACATCTTGTCTACTTGAATTGCTCTACATCTTCACAAAGGTTCCTGAGACTCCAGTTGGTCCTTGTCACCAAATGTGCTTGACCTGTCCAGCCTCCTGATCATTGTATATAGACCTGGGGATCAATCATCACTTGAACAAGAGAACATTCTCCATCCCTAGTTTTCCAAACTCAACAAGAGGAGAGAATAGGCACATATTTCATTTGTTCATCTTAAAAACTTTGGACATCAAAAGAGAAGTAGGTGGAGGGAAGGAAGAGGAGGGACAAAAAGTGAAAAAAAAAAAGGATTTTCTTTTCTAAAACGTGCTTCATCATTTATGGAATAACTTTTAAAGGCCAGATAGGATTTCTTAACTACATTTGGAGACAGTTGAGGTTTGGGCCTAGGTGTTCAGAAAACAATAAAGAGAGCTGAAATATTGGTCATTGTATACCCCACTTATAGCAGACACAGTAATTTGTATGTTTTGTACTTTATCTCCTTTAATCTTCCTAAGAATCCTGCAAGATGGGTCTTATTAGCCTTGTTTTATTTTATTTTATTTTTTATAGTTTATTTATTTTTGAAACAGAGAGAAACAGAGCATGAGTTGGGTAGGGGCAGAGAGAGAGGGAGACACAGAATCCGAAACAGGCTCCAGGCTCTGAGCTGTCAGCAGAGAGCCCAATGCGGGGCTCAAACCCACGAACCATGAGATCGGACCTGAGCCAAAGTTGGGCACTTAACCGACTGAGCTGCCCAGGTGCCCCTAGCCTTGTTTTAAAGATGAGGCAAATGAAGCTCAGATGGAAAGGTGGATCTCACTCAGTTCCTCTCTTGTGGGATTTAATATGGGATTGGACAAGTCTTTGGTAACAACGAGAGTCTATAAAGTTAGCATGCCATGTATATAGTTGATATATTTCTTTAGAATGCTTTATTGTGGCAGTACCACATTATCATTAAGTTTTTTTTGATTTGATTTTTTTTTTTCGAAAGGAAGAGCAGATGGCCATGTGAGCAGGGTAAGTGCAGAGGGAGAGGGAGAGAGGGAGAGAGAAAATCTTGAGCAGGCTCCATGTCTAGTGTGGGCTCTGTCTTAATGACCGTGAGATCACATATTGAGATGAAATCAAGAGTTGAATGATTAACTGACTGTGTCGCCCAGGTGGCCCTATCATTAATTTTTAAGAATTCATGATAATTATTATCAATAATTAATGATAAGAATGCTATTATCATGAATTTATCTCAACTCAACTAGCATTTGCTGAATTCCTAACTAATGTCACAGACACTCTAGTGGGCAGAGTTATATAATACACAGCTTTTTCTTGGGGATGGAGAATAACTGATGGTTCATTGCAGTTAGGGTGTGCAGTGGAGCAGGAGTGGTTCGTAGTGTCTGGGTGATGCCATGACAAAGAGTTTTGGATCTTGTCCTGTGGAAAAGTAGTATTTTAGAAACACTGCTCCCAAGCTACGTTTAGATAGGGCTTTGTAAGCACAAGTTCATCTGTGGGGCCATGTTAATAACCTTCCTCATAGATTATGTGCTTTCTTTTTAGGAACAGTGGACAGTGCCATGGACCTGATCTTGATCAATTCCCTACCTCTCGTGTCTGATGCAGAAACATCCCTCACCTGCATTGCCACTGGATGGCGCCCCCATGAGCCCATCACCATAGGAAGGGACTTTGAAGCCTTAATGAACCAGCACCAGGATCCACTGGAAGTTACTCAAGATGTGACCAGGGAGTGGGCTAAAAAAGTCGTTTGGAAGAGAGAAAAGGCTAGCAAAATCAATGGCGCATATTTCTGTGAAGGACGAGTTCGAGGAGAAGCAATAAGGATACGGACCATGAAGATGCGCCAGCAAGGTAACAGGCCCCTTAGTCCGGGGCAGGTGAGGTCTGCTGAGACTCACACACAGCTTTTGTTTTGGCATTTGATGGCTCAGAGACTGGACATGGGCTGTGTGAGTGTGGAACTTGAAGACCTTGTCTGCCTCTTTCCAGACATTACGTGTCTTTAATATATATATAGCATTAGAGATAAAAGAGACTGGCCAGTCCACTTCTCGCCCATTCAACCCCTTCACTAGAAATTGTCATGAGATGAAATGTATTATATTTTCTACTAAGAACTTCATGACCCTTATGGAGATATGAACATGTTACATGTATGTAATATGAAAATCACAGTGATAAAGACATCTTTCCATGACAAAATATTGGCCATTTTGAGCTTTCTCATTGATCATTTGATTCTTTGTTTTGCTTGCCCCTGAGTATTCCTCACAGAAGTTAATCTTTTCAGGGGAAAATGTGGTAGAAAAAATTTTAAGGGGAAACATCTATCAATAACTCAGCTTCATCGGTGACTTAGTGTATCGGCTTTCTGTTGCCACAATAATGCTGTGTGTCACATGACCACAGACCACAGTGGCATACAACAATAAGCATGGATGGCTTATGCATGTAAGTCAGCGGGGCTGGTAGGTGGCTCTGCCATTCTCCACTGGGCTTTCCCACACATGGATGTTAGGTGACTGTAGGCTTATTATGCTGGCCTTGGCTGAGCCAGCCTGGCTCTGTTCCATGTGTCTGTCGTTCTTTGGCAGGCTACTCTATGTATATTCTCACAGAGATGGCAGAAGAGCAAGAGAGCAAATGGAGATGCACAAGGCTTCTTGAAACCCAGCATACTCTCACTTCTGTCTCATTTTATTGCCCAAAGAAAGTCAGACAGCTGAGCCTAAAGTCAGAATGGATGGTCAATCACACAGCTAAATGGGAAAGATTATGGTGACAGGGAGGGATGAAGAATTGGGGACTTTTTTGTAGGCAGTATATCATTCTTGGAAAAGAGGCCGTGATTTCATACTAAAAGTTGAATTACTGCACTTAGCTCACAGAACACCACATCTTTGAAGGGAAACATTGAGGGCCTTTTGCAAAGGGTGCAGGGAGTGGAGTGAGGGGTCAGGTATTACTCTTTGCTACCACCTAACAACGCAGTGATGTGATGGAGCCTTTCTCCCAAACTACAAGTGGCTCTAAGCTAAATCTTTAGGCAGATCCTGATGGCAACTGGAGAAGACAGTGTCGTGAACATTATTTAATGATTCTGTTTTGTCCTAAGGCTCCCAGGTCTGGACAGGCAGGTAGACTTCTGGTACCGTGGTGCTGCCTGCTGGGAGGAGGGTACAGAATTCCAGCAGAGATGACCTCTCCTTGTTCTGACTGGAATGATCTGGCCACTCAGTTATCAGCCCTTTTTACTGGGCCAGTCATACCTTTAATGAAGGAGTCCTTTCCAAATAGGTGTCATCATAACCACAGGGACTGTGGCCTGAGAATGTGTCATTTCATGAAACCATGACTGTGAACTCTTCAGGGTTTGGTTTGTAATCATAAAACTGATCCAGATAAAACACACTTCTACACATTTCTCTGATTGGCAGGTTTTTGTTGTTGTTTTTGTTTATTTGTGTTTTTTGTTGTTTTAAAATATAGGAGTCTACATTGTTTTAGACAAGTGTTTCTCAACACTGATGTGCTTATAAATTGCCCGTGGGTCTTGGTAAAATGTGGATTCTGATTCAGTAGGTCCTTGAGGAGAGCTCTGAGATCATGCATGTCTAACAACATCCCAGGTGATAAGGTGCCTCTGAGTAGCAAGGGTGGAGAGTCCACCGCTAGCTGGGGTCCACCTGAAAATAGTTCTTTGAATTTGCTAACATTGGTAATTAGAAGCCTTGAAGGCAGCAAGCTCATTTTCAAGTAAAAAATGATAAAATCGCTATTCATGACAAATGAAGGAAAAGGTTTTCTTAGCAAAACTGCAATATTCACCTTTACATGACACGAGGTGAGTGGGAAAAGTGCACAGCAGACATTCCCAGGAAGGCAGCTCTCCGGTGAGGGAAGAGAGTTTGAACAAAGGGATGTGAGGTGTGCCAAAGCTATCATGGCTAAAAAGTCAACTCTATTATTTTTTGCATGTGTCATTCAGGATTTGACCTGCATAGAGAGTTATGTCTCTGCTGATAATTCCACATTCTGAATGAAGATAATCTGAGATTTGTCCCCCAGTGGCTTCATAGGAATGAAATGTGAAGTGCTATTGTGTTCTTTCCAGGATGGCCTGGGGCTGAACTTGACAGCATAGAAATAAGAACCTGTAGAGAGTATTAAATCAGTACATTGGGAGTCAAAGACCAATGGCTGCTCCATCCTGACAGGTTAGGCCAGCACAGGTAAAGGACTTAAATTCAGTTACATGAGGTGAAGGTAGACTTGGCAGTGGAGAGATGATGCCTTTTAGATTCCTTTCACCTGACTTTTAATTCTGTCTCTACCATTTACCAGCTCTGTGGCCTTGGACAAGTTACGTGGCACCCATTTGTCTTGTTTTTCATCATCTGTGTAATGAGGACAATAACAATACCTTCAAAATTGTCTTCACTTTCAAATAAGATGGTATCTACCAAAAGTCAGTTCCCATGAGCGCATTCAAATTAAGCTTTGATTGACACCATAGGTGTGTTGCTAAAAGCTGGGTGAAGTGAAACATTATAGAATAAGTTATATATAACAATAGCAGTTTGTAAATGTTGGGAATGGGATTTGAAGCCAAGTGATCTGACTGCAGAGTCTGTATGGATGACCACTGCAACACCCTGGGTGTTTCCCCACGTCTGCTGTGAACCACCCTCCCCCACTCTGAACACTTGTTTTATAAAATAGAACAACTCCAACGGAAACCCTACAAAGCAGCCCAGGGCACAGTGGGTGTAGGGACGTGGGTTGGAGCCTGACTCTGTAACTAAATGGTATGCTGAAGGCAAGTTTCTTCACTGAAATCATTTTTCCTCTTTTGAAAAATACAACGGAGATAGAGATGCTACCCCATAGATTTGAGAATCAAATGAGACCACCAACCTATTTGGCTCAATGTAAATGTTCAGTAATTGTCATAGTTCCCTGGAATAAGCAGTAATTGAGTGAGACTATTTTTCTACTCAATTGTAGAAAAAATTGAATACCATCCATTAACGTAATTGGTATACAAAATTTATACAAAAGAGGTAGTTTTATTTTATTTATACAAAAATAGGTAGTACTTTCTTTCCTACATTTGTTTTTGTTAATGTTTATTTATCTTAGAGAGAGAGAGAGAGAGCATGTGCATGAGGGGGAGGGGCAGAGAGAGGGAGAGGAAGAATCCTAAGCAGTGGGTTGGTGAACCCACGAACCGTGAGATCATGACCTGAGCTGAAATCATGAATCAGATGCTTAAATGACTGAGCCAGTGAGACGCCCCCTTCCTACGCTGTAATAACAACATCTCAGTCTGTTGAACAGATTCTGCTTCTTTTGCTGACCATCCAGTAGCTGAAATACAGTGCAAGGAAAGTGATATCCTTTATGGTAAATCAGGAAAACCTCAACAACGGTGTCTTCATGATACTATTAATTCCCTAGTAAAACATCATGGGATCTCAGAGGTGCCTGCCCAGAGACACAGCAGGATAGGGTAAACATCCATGTATTCCTGCTTGCTGCTGACTCGTGCATCTGGGGAGGAAGTGGAAAATCCATTTGAGATGTGCCAAAACATGCTTAAATTGGCTCGCACACTCCAAATGGCCAAACTGTTTTTTATCAATGGCATCATGCAAAAAAATCAAAAGCAATTTGTTCAAACCTCCCTGGTGATTTCATTTGGGGGTAGGGAGGTATAAATGATGTTTGAAACATTTTCACATCCAAGCGTCTGCCGGAGTGTCCCCTTGGGAGGAAACATAGGTTATTTACTTCCTATTTTCATTCGAGAAATAACTTGAAGAACGTCAAATCTTCCAAACACGATTTGTGAAGTTGATAGAGAGAAGCCATTTATATCTAAATAACACAAATGAATATGTTAAAAGCCTAAAGAAAATAGGAAAATTTGAAATCCGATCCATTCATTTATTCTTTCATTTCACAAGTACTCTTAGGCCTCTACTCGCGTCACACATGGGAGATAAAGCAATGGTAACATGTCCTGAGTATTTACCCGCCTGACATTCCCCTAGCAGCTTTATATACATTACTGTATACTTTAGTCTTTACCAAGCATGTGTCTGGTGGGGACTATGATGTGACCTTGTGTCCTGGAGGGCTCAGTCTAGCCGGGGAGCCGTGCTGTGGGTGGCTGTAAGGGGAAAGTGCAGGACATTTGGAGAACAGCCTTGGAGCACTTACCCTGGATCCCAGGGCATGAGTAAGGCCCCTGGAGAAAGGGACATCTACCTGGAGACCAAAGAGGAGTGGGACATGGTGAGACCCAGGGAAAAGGCAGGGGCAGAGGAGAAGGGAGGGGGCCCATGGCTTGCATGTGAGTGACCACTCGGTCCATTGCAGGCCTGAATATAGTTCAGAATGGCTGCAGTTGAGAGCTAAGGCTATACGGAAGGAGTAAGATCAACCCAGAAGGCTGATGGGGTTGAACAAGTGTGGGCATCTTGAGTTTGTGTCTCAATTTTCACTTTACTCACTGTCAGGAGGCCTTGAGTAAGGGACTAAGTCACCCTTAACTCCATATCCCACATGTGCAGACAGAGGATACACCACTTCACAGCACTGTTGTGAAATTGTACAAAATAATAATGGACATGAAACTACCCTTAGTCTTTATCATTAAAGGAGATACCCAAAATTGAACTTAATTACTTTACATCCATGAGAAGACTCTTTTTTTTAATCTTTTTAATGTTTTATTTATTTTTGAGAGAGAGAGACAGCATGAGCAGGGGAGGGTCAGAAAGAGAAGGAGTCATAGAATCCAAAGACAGGCTCCAGGCTCTGAGCTAGTTGTCAGCACAGAGCCC